ATTTTTCTTTTTTTTAATTCGACGCGGAAATAAATAATTAAAATGAATGAATTTCACAAAATTGAACATAAACACCATAATCTCAACTCAGAATTAACTAAAAATGTTGTTTAGTGATCGTGCTAGTGATAAATCAGGAGTTAAAATTATAATTAACAACAGCGAACGGAGCATGAAATTTAAAGTGCAGCCGACCACCAACCGCGGGTACTGTAATAAAGGAAAAAATAATACAAAATATTATGCACATCTAGTTACGTTATAAGTAGATTAATAAGTATAAATTTTTAATATCACAAATAACTAGCATGCCACCTGAAAACGCTGAAAAAGCGACTGCTCCTAGAAATCCACAAACACATCTTCGTTGCTCATATTTAATCGAAAGAGGAGGAGACGGACGGAAAGAGAATATTTCTCTATGCGTCCTTCCGTCAAAACCATTTCTTCCTTTCCTTAAGAAAACAGTGGGAGGAAAAAGTAAGAAAATCAGGTCTTCTGCATGGTGGTAAACCGGCTCTCTATGTTATTAATTACGAAGCAAATATGGGATGACTGCTTTATGAAGAGAAACTGTTCGAAAATCAATAGTATAGATTTTCGAACAGTTTTTAATAAAGCGTAAACACACACTACTTTGTTACCTAAGATTTCAGCAATTACAGCATATTTTTGAATAATTCTAGTTTTAATAAAAACCCCTAGACTTACGTCACGCTTTAGGCTATAATTTTTCACGCAATTAAACTTAGGGGGTAAATTTTTAGGATAAAAACCCTAATGTGGGAAAGAGACCACAAGATGCTACCAACATCAAGGAAGCAAGGTTGCCATGGTTTGTCATCATGTCATGTCATTTTGCATTTTGCAATTGATAATTTGACGTATGTAAACAATAAAATATAATTTTCATAATTTCATGCGGATGAAGTCGCAAGGTAACAGCTTGTAAAAGATAAAACTTTCGAATCACGTAAATTACATTTTAGAAAGAATCTAAACCGTAGGTATATCTTTGAATCCGTTCCGAGATATCGACACTAACATATAAAACAATGTAACATAGTTGTTCGACAAATTCAATTCAAATGATGTAGAATACAAGCAAAGCTTTACAACTCTGTACATGTTTTATTTAGTACGAGGCGGGACGAAATAATTTCCAACTAGAGCCAAGCGACTTGCTTTGGGGAACATTTTTCGAGTGCAACTTGAAAAACAGTTTTATATTTTGTGTCTGAACGGAAGAAACTTTGTTCCAAATAAAATTCACTTTAACGTTACAGTTTCAGAATTTCAGTGCTAAAAGAACCGCTGGAGTTGATTTAACTGAGAACTTGATAGACATGATAAAATTTAAAACTAAATAAAAAGAAGAGTAAATGTCAACATTTTTTTTATAATATAAGGTGGCAAACGAGCAAGCGGCCACCTGAATCCACCGAAATGGAAAACGACCGCTGCCCATAAACATCCGCAATTGCAGATGCGTTGCCTACCCTTAATTGACGGAGGAGGAGACGCACATAAAGAGAACATTTACTCTTCCTATGCGTCTCCTCCGTCAAATCCACTTTTCTTCCTATCCTTTCCTCTTAAGAAAAGGGTAGGAAGGGAAAGGGACTAAAAATTAGGCCTCCGGCACCACTCTCATCAGACGAAACGCGGAATTGCTTTCACTTCACCCCTGTTTTTTGTGTGGTCGTGGTATTTTACCGGGCAAGCCGGACCATTTGTGCGAAAATGTAAAAAAAAAACAATATTAAGAAAATGGATGAAAACTTCGACCACATTTACCATCAGATACGATAATGGGGAAGCGGTAGTTTCGTCATAAAAATTAACCAACAACAAAACATATAAGTTGGTAAGATAAAGATGATGTCAAAAAGGTTCAATAATAAAAAAAAAGTTAGAACTACGCAATATGTCTCACACAATACTGTTTCATAAAGATATTTTGATTAGCTTCTATTTATAAATCTTCATATGTACGTCTTTTGAATATTTCCCCGGAGACACAAAACATTTATCAACTCTTATTGAATTGTCTATTGTACGGATACATCATGTAACTAAGCAACACCCTGTATGTGGAAGTTTCTGTGGGAGTTTTGAGACAGAACATTGCTTTTAAAATTGTTCTCAAACAAGTTGTTTCCTATCTCTCAATGAATCTTCGCTTGACAATTTATAAATTCATCTACTCGTACATGTTTGAAATGGTTTGTTTCACATTCAGGAAAGGTTACTTACCTTTAACATTTTGTACCGTCTTTATTATATTTGGTAACATCTTTCTACATTGTCTCAGAACACACTCAGCCATATCGATACTGTCTTTTACCTGCGAATTTGTCTGAGAGGAATAATAAATGATTTATTAACTTATATGTTCTTTCAGACTTTTTTTTATATCATAAGGTGGCAAACGAGCAAGCGGCCCTAAATCCGCCAAAATGGCGAAGCGACCGCTGCCCATAGACATTCGCAATAGCGGATGCGTTGCCCTTGATCGACGGAGGAGGAGACGCACATAAAGAGGATGTATCCTCTTCCTATGCGTC